TTTCAGGATCTCCTCTGTTACATACTGACTAAGGATCCTATAACTGCTGCCTAACCCATCAGTAAAGAAGCAGGTAGCCAGCTCTAGTCATTAGAAAGTTTTTCTGAAGGTAGAGTTATTAAAAATAGTAATAAAAAGAATTTTTTTAAACATCCTATAACTTTATTTCCTGGTAAGTCTTGCCCTCTGGTAGATTAATAAAGAATGCCTCACCCTCTTTAACACAAAATAATTTCAAATGTTTGAAAACAACTTTGATATTTCTGTCTATTCCTCTTGTTTCCAACCAGTGGGGTCCAATACAGCTTCTGCAGCGATGGAAGGTTCTATAATCTGTGCTGTCAACCAGTCAGTAGTTGCGTGTAGCCAGCTACTACCATACTTGACAGAACTTCTCTAGACTAGGACTCCATATCTACTTAAACTATTTTCGTGTCATTATTGCCAGACCTTAAGCCATTCCTGGTTACTCTCTTTTGAATATTAGTCAAAATATGATATAATAAACACACTATGCTTTCCCATGTGCAGCCAACCAAAGCAGAGGAAAATGAGACCATTAACTTCTCTGCGACTTAGTCTTGCCAATAATTCAGCTTAAGATTGTCTTAACTTTTGAGCAAGTTAGTACTTGTAGTCTACTGCAGTTCCTAAGTTTTTCAGACATATATTGCTATTAATCCAGGTCTGTAACTCTTATCCTCCATTTGTGCAGCTGAACTTTAAATGAAGACAAAAAACTTGTTGAACCTTGATTCTGTCATGTAGAAGAAAGTGTTAGCTTTCTTTTTTCCTTTGCCTTAATCGTAAATTCATAAGCTTGCCTTCAATGGCATTCTCCAAATCAATGACAAACACATTACCAAGACAAGGCCACAGGCAAAGCCTCATGTCACAACACTAGGAATTCTCATTAGTCAAGATAATTTGGATTGAGTTGTTCAATCAGGTAAGAATCTAACTATATTTCTGGGCAAAAGCAGAAAGCTATATTCGTGGTCAAAGTCATAAAGGAGGTAGTCAAGTTCTTGATCTGGGTGGTGATTACACGGTTGTGATCATTCACCAAGCTGTGTACTTTTCTGTTTGTGTGATGTACTTCAATTCAAAATTTCTAACACAGTATTGCAAAATACTGAAAACCAGCATTGCGATCTCATTCAAAACTGTTTAAACAGCCTTTAGTCTCAGGTCCCGTCCCGAACTCTGCGTGGTCACCCATCCTTGGGATGGGGGTGGGGGGAGGTTCATTCTTCGGAGAAATTGAATAGAAATTGAACAGAAGAGGCTCAGGAATTTCCAGATCCTGGAGAGGCAGTAGGTGAGGTGGGAATGAGGCTGTGAACAGAGGGATTCTGTGAAAGGGCACCTACTGAACCGGGGGATCCTAAGCCCCCTTTCCATACTTCATTCTCAGAATAACATCTGGGCATATTCTTCCCCAGACAGAGATTGGAGGATTCTTCCTCCCAGAAAACGAACCCAACCTACAGAAAAAGACAAAGTCTGAAATGATGGATTTGCTGCCTGATCATCTAAAATGGTTTCCTAATCACAAATGCAAATTCTTTCCCTCCTCAGGAATGCAATTCGTTTGCACTTGGGAACTTCAAAGTTCATTTAAAACTATTAGGCACTTGATTAAACATCTCCTCCTCTTTGTTGGGATTCAGTTCCCTCTCAATAGGGCTAGTTTGCTTCCTTTTCCAGCTGAAGATCGCTTTCCCTTGATGAGGAAGTGTAAGAGGCAGTTCAGAATGCTGCTCTACAAGTTACCAGGACATCCTCTGCTCCTGAGCAGTGACCAATGCCTTATTCTTACTTCTTGCTCTCTATGTTCTTCTGTTACTAGCAGAGGAATTATTTTACAGCAGAAGAAAGCTCAGAGAATCTTCACAGAATACAAGAAGTCTGACTCAAATCTGCCAAAAGACTAAACAAAGGCTTAAATTTTATTAAGTAGACACAGTCTTTTGTCAAGTTAAATAGACATGTGTGCCCTCTAATGGGTAATTTGTTCCTTGGAAGAACATATCAAGGTGCATATTTCATAAGATTCTGTGCTAATGAAATCAAACATCAAGATGCCAAAGTATTAGGGTGTGGTCAGACCTCAACTGACCCAGACAGCCCCACGCCGGGCTCCAGCTTTGGCATGACTTCAAGAATCCCTCTTTGCCCGCTGCTCTCCCCACTGTTTGCTGTTATGACTTAAAACTCACTGAATTGACTGTTAAAATGGCAGCATAATTGCCAAATCCTACATTAAGATGCTATTACCATGTTTTCTCCCTTTTTAAATTGATAGATGTTTCTTGAGCTCCTACCATGTAGAAGGCATCACGCCAGGTGTACAGAGGACACAGGGAAAATATGGAGAATAGGAAAGTCCCAGCTCTGCAGTCAGCTTAGTCACTCATGACCTGCATGCCTTTGACCATATTAATAACCCTCACTGAGCCTCTGTTTCAGGCTGAGAGATTAGCATGAGCAAAGGTACGGAAGAATTAAAATACATAGGGCAAAATAGAAATCTTCAGCTAAAAAGAGATAGTAATATAAGGTAGCATGTGCTGAGGAGTGATAGAGACGAATGTTAGAGAGTTCACAGTGAGGGAGAGTGGTGAGAGATCACTCTCATGTGAAGCAGGAATAAGACCTCAATAAGAAAGAGGATGGTGGGGTGAAGCCGGAGCCAGGTCCTTAAGACAGAGAATTTTTAACTAACATTTTTTAGCTAACATTTATTGCACACAGCAACACATACTTCACGTGGAGCAAAACTCCCTACAAAATGTTATCATCCTCATTTCAAAGATAAGGAAATAGGTTTAGACGAAGAGGAGGGAAAAGGCATTCTTGGAAGTGAATCAATTACCAGGAGCAAAGGTTCATGACGCTAAGGAGCAAGACCTGCTGTCCCAGCATCTACGGCTTTGTCTCTCTCGTTACCATCCCTGTCCCTGCAGTGTTGGTTTCAGCCTCCTGTGAGCTGAGTGTGGTTAGTTATCCTGTGCTTATTCTCTGCCACAGGCCCTTTCCTTTGAATGTGATGAGCCTGCATCTGTCCCCTGACCTTTGCTTATTTTCTTAATAGTTGGAAGATAATATTTCATATATTGGATTCGAGCCTCTCACATCCCCTTCATTTCAACATTTGGAACCTAACATTACTCAGTATCCTAAAGACATTTGACCTTGGTCCTCTGGTGATTTTACCTAAGAATGTGAGTGTTTGCGAGTCGCCCCCCCAGAGCACTGATTTGACCAAGGGCATGTCAGTCTTCTGATTATTGGCTGAAAGATTCTAACCTTATGGAAGAATGGATTAGAAACTAAAACTCCAGAGATGAACATACAACCCTCTGACCACTCACTCATGAAGAGTTTCGACAGTCTTTCTCCAGCTATGGGGATGTGGAATTTAATAGCCCATAGGTTTCATTGGAGCGTAAGAACTGGGAGTTAGAGTGAGAGACTCTAAATATTGCAGACCCAGGTTCTCCGAAGGTCTAAATGTCTTTGGCCAGAGTATGTAGAAAAGAGTAAAGTACTACTCATTTAAATTACAATATTAACTTTAAGCTTTCAAATTACTTTAGTAAAACCCAAAATAGATCATCCAAGAAACAAAGAATCTCGTTATTTTTTAAGAGTAGAATCAGTTATGTATTGTATTTGTACTCTAGTCTTCATATTTGTTTTATCTATTTTTGTCTGTTTCACCGTCAAGTGCTAAAAGACAAGACAGAGAAGCTTAATTCAGGTAATTTTAGAAGTCTGGCCAGTAAATTATATTAAAATGTATTTGTACTAAAGTGCTTGTGAATGAGTCTTACTACTTTCTGAGCGGCTGCTGGTTTAGAACTTTCTTTCCAAAAATCTCTCTCCTTAAGGCTGAACAAAAGGAGGGGCACGTTTTGGGGAGTATTCCCTGAGATTTTTATAGAAGAAGCAAGTCTCGAGTGTAGTGAACATAGTAGCCACAAGCATGGCTTCTGAAGTCAAAACACTAGCCCTGTGATCTTGAGTTACTTAACCTCTCAGACAATTCCCTCAGATATAAATGGGAAAGACAGCATTTACCTCAGAGACTTAAATGAGATCATGCATTAACAGCCCACAGCAAAACTCTGGGTATACAGTAAGTGCTCAGTGAAAGTTTACTACTATGAAGAGTGAATTAGAATGTACCAGGTCGTTTTGCACCATTCCCAACAGCAGGTGTCACTCTCTCCCCAAGTGCTGAAAGGGAGTCACATTTTATTGCTTATTCAGATGTCTGTGCATTCTCTAAGTATTGGGGAATGAAAGGTAGATACCACAAATTCCTATAGATATCTTATGATTAAACAGCACAATTTTAAGCACAGGCCCCAAATCACTGTTTGAGAATTAAGAGCTATCAAATTCATTACACCCCTCCCCACTCCCAAGTACACACGGGTTGGGGGAGGGTGGGATGGGAGAATGACAAAGGCCTGGTGAGCCAGATTCAAGTCAGAAAACACAGCCTAGCAAAATATTCTGCTGTAATTTTCTAAATCCTTATTTGAACCTCCTTACTCTATACATTTTCAAAAAAAGGGAAAGAAACTGAACAAAAAACGGCTCCATATTTTGAAAAAAATAACAATTTGGTACTACCATATATTAAATTAGAATGATCAACTCTTGATTTGAGTTAGAATCTAGATACTTGAGATACAACCAGCCCTAAAAAGGTAAGCTCTATTCATCCATCTGCACAGAAAACATGCACTTTTTTTTAAGCAGAGAAAAGAGCTACTTCAACATCTTCTGCTTTACAGGTCAATGGAATTTCCCACAATGGCCAGCCCAATAAATACATGTTGAAACCGCCAAGAGTTTAGCAAATGAAGCACTTAAAAAAACAGAACTATTCCTTTTATTAGGAAACTTAATTTAGTGATTTCTGTACTTTTCCTTATAAGAATATAAGAAAAGGTGACAGCTGATGTTCAGAAGTGGAAACCACATAATCGGACAAAAAAATCACATTTATTTCAATAGCTCAAAGTGCAAATACAGCAAGTTGGTTCACAAAGTTTCAAGATAACAGTTTTAAGTATAATAACTTGATATACAAAAATGAAAGGGTAAATAGCAGAAATAAAGCTCAATTTTTAAAAAATATTCAAGTAACCTGAAAACTTTTAGATTAAAATATTCCACTTACATCAATTCAGAAATGCCTTAATTTCTAATTAATTAGACACCAGTAGCACATTGCAATCAAAAAGGACTTCTGAAAGAAAGAGAATCACCCCAAACTGGTCAGCTCCAGACAAGAGTGGAAATTCTCAGTGCTGGCTATTCCTCTGGACAGGCTCCCTCGTGCTGTATTAATTGATGTGGTTCAACCCATGATATTTTGACTTTTAGGAAAATTCTAAAAAATGTTTAAAGTTCAATATGAGGCCAACATTACTATTAAGAGTTTCTGAAATGGCCACTATCTATTTAAAAGATTTAAAGAGCAATTCCAACTTTGGGCCCATGGTATCACTGAGGGAAAAGACATGAATACTTCTTCCATGACCTAATACCTTTTGTGAGGTTAGCAAGATGGCCTTTAAAATTCCCTCATGAAAATTATCCTTAAATACATATTTACTTATTTCTACACATACAGAACTTGTATGTAAAGTAGAAAAAGTTCCCACTAGGAAGATAATTAGAGGTTGTTAATGTTCTTTTTATCACTTAGCAGCCAAGACACATGTTTATTTCTGCTCCCCAGAAGCAATGTTAGCTACTAGCTTTAATCCAGGAAAACATGTATCTTCAGGAAGGTTTATATGAGATATTCATTCGGTCTTTTTCTCAACCTTCTTCATCTTTTCATAGTAGGCAACAAATTGAGCGTCTGTTCCAAAAATTCTATCCCACCAGGTAAATGTTGAAGCATAGTTTCCGACGAAGTTCATGTGGTGGAAATCGTGATGCCGAGAACCGGCGTAGAAAGGGATGAGATTTAAAGGGTTGAGAGGAATATCGTACCCACTGAAAGAAAAATGGTAAAGCTTAAGAAGGAAATAAATGCACCTCTAATAATCAACACTTTAGTGACAGTCACATGCTCATTAACTAATCCAAATAACATTTCACCTCACTTAAGTCATTTTATTTCTGACATGTTTACAAAAACCAAAAACTCACAGAAAATAGTGCATATTATAGAAATCACTGTAAGAAATTTTTAAAAACTTCAAAGATCTACAGAAATTAGTATTATACACCAGGGGATGAAAGAGAAGGCTTACAGTAATGAATCTTTAGATCCAGATTTTTGAGAATTATTTTTCTTTTCTGTTCTAGAGGAGCTTTCTCACCATAGTTAGTAATGTCCATAATACCACATATGTCTTTTAGGAAAAGTTATATGAAATTAGTGTCAAGCATTAAGAAGGTTAAACCTGTGAATCACTGGGTAGCAACTTCTCCTAGAGTTTCCTCCTTTATTTCTAATTACAAACAAAATCTGATATCCACAATTACACCAGTCAGAATCACCCCAATGCTGCTCTCCCTTTAGGAGACTGGGAGGCATGGAGGGAGAAAAGAACAATGGAAGGACAGAAAGAATGAAGGAGACATCATTTACAACTTATCTGCAGAAGGATATTCTCTGCCGAAGACTAGAAGCATTAATTTTGCTACTTAAGTGGTTTAAAACAGTTCTTAGGATTTGATGTTCTGCTTTTACAGGTATACTAATAAGTCCCAAGGCAAAATGCAATGAATATATAATAATTTTAAAATAATGGAAAATTAGGAATATTAGGCATTTAAAAGGCATTAAACAGAAATAATTTACCACAAAATGCGTTCCAATCCACAGAAAGGAAGCACGTGAGATACGCACTATCACAAGCAGTGGTTGCATCAGTGCAGGGCAGGAGAGAATCAAAACATCCTTACTCAGTGAAGGCTGACTGTTTCAATATTCTTTTCAAGAGCTGGGGTTAGGTTCATTACAGAAGGATAAAGTAATTGCTGGTCCTGACTTACAGTATCAAACAGATTTTTAAGGAAACCACAAAAATATTTTCATTTGAACAATGCTTCAGGAAGACCCACGCAAGGAATGAAACCCGAAAGCCATAAAGAAAACGACTGATAGTTTTCACAACATGAAAATTAAAAACTTCAGTATTATAAAAGAACTACCAAAAGTTAAAATTCAAATGACAGAGAGAAAACGTTTACGCATACGCAACAAATAAAGCTTACAGGAGACCAATAGGTTACAAAACATATAACCTAACAGAAAAATAGGCACAGGATATAAAAAGGTAATTCAAAGAAGAAAAAAATACTATTGGGCAATAAGCACACAAACAGATGCTCAGCCTCATGAATCCCTGGAGAAATGCAGATCACAAGGCTGCAAGCCCTTTGCCCTCTTCCCGACAAAGATTACAAAGACTGTGGTACCCAGGTTGGGAAGGGTTTGGGGAGGGGGAAAGTGTTCTAATATATTCCCGCTGGAAATGTCAAGAGGGATCCTTCTGAAGGGCGGTTTTGCAGTAGCTATCAAAATCTTACTTCATTTGCCCAAATAATATATGCAGATGTTCTCACTATAAAAACGACAATAGCCATAGACAGGGATGTAAAAAAAAAATTCCATTATTTGAACTTTTATCCGATGATCACGTTCTCTTGTTTTCTTAAAAATAACAACATTAAAAAGGTTAACTTCTCCTATTAATCTACTTAGAAAAAAAGATAGTCTATGATAATGATTATCAAATCATTGGGCAAAATGGGTGAGGGGTGGTCAAAAGGGACAAACTTCCAGATATCAGAAAAATAAGTCACGGAGACGTAAAGTGAAGCCTAGTGATTACAGCTAACAATACTGTATTATATTTGAAAGTTGCTAAGAGAGATCATCTTAAAAGTTCACATCAGAAGAAACAAATTTTTTGTAATTCTATGTAGTGATGGGTGTTAACTTACTGTGGTGATCATTTTGCAATATATACATATATCAAATCATTATGTTGTACATCTAAAACTACTATTTTATATCCATTATATCTCAATTAAAAAATCAAAATAAACAAAAAAAGAAAGATAATTTATAACCATGAAATAAAGATATTTTATGATACCTTACACCTGAATAGAAACCATAACTCACCTATGGACATCAATAGTTTCTATCAACCGCACAGTCACCCAGGCCCAAAGAAGAATTACATGATCACATAAAAGCAAGATTCCAATGAAAAATCCAGTTCCAAGAATTAGGGTTTCCAGAGGATGTGCATATTCAGCTTCCATTCCAAATGGAGCCTAAAATAGATAAGAATTGCTTAACATATTCTGATGGTTAATTTTATGTGTCCGCTTGGCTAGCTTCTGGTGCCCAATTGCTTGTTCAAACAGCAGTCTACGTGTTGCTGCGAAGGTAGTTTTTACGTGTGATTACCATTTTAAATCAGCAGACTCTGAGTACAGATTACCCTCCATAATGCAGGTGGGCTTCACCCAATCAGCGGAAGGCCTTAAAGCAAACACTGACACCTCCCAAGGAAGAAGGGATTCTCAAGATTGCAACATAGAGACCTGCACACCTGAGTTTCAAGCCTGCTGCCCTGTGACATTCAGATCCAAGACTGTAACAGCAACGCTCACCTGAATTTCCAGCCTGTGGTCTGCCCTACAGATTTTGGGCTTGCCAGCCCTCACAATCACAGGAGCCAATTCCTTAAAACAAATCTGTATGTGTCTCTCTTATTCTTTGTGTTTCTCTAGAGAACTCTGGCTAATACAAATATTCTAATTTATTTATGCATATAGTTTTATAAAATTATATTGTTTCTCTATGTAATGATAGCATATCTCTAACTAGCTACATAAATATAAACAGTTAATTCTCAATAAAAGTATCTTTTTCCTACCAAACGTTCAGGTTCTAGGACGTCCTCAATAAAATCTTGATAACTGTCTTTGATGGTTTAAGACAAAGGCATTAAACAACTGACTTGAACTCTAATTTCGGTTGATGCATCTGAACTTGTTCTGCCGAGAAAGGGACGCTTGGTTGAGCATACCACACCATCAGGATCAACGGGGACACACTGACATCACCAGTCTGACTAAGCTCATCAAAGGAGCTCAGATACAAACCACTGTTTTTGTGGCAGTCAGCAATGTGGGAGAAATGTGTTAAAACTAAGTCAGGAACTGTTTTAGAAGTCTAAAGATTAAAGCTCATTGTTTTGGGGTCCTATTTAAATGACTCCAATATCACTATAGCCTCGATCGAACTGCCAGGTATCCAACTGTGTCAGGAGAGAGGTCAGGCCACAACGATGAGAGTCGGAACTACTTCAGGGAACATTTTTCTTTCAGATCTCAATCTACCATGAAATTAAGATACTGAAGAAAAGGTGTAGAACTGGCTTTGGGGGTATGTGTGTGTGTGTTGTTTTAACAATCTTGACAAAGGAAAAAGAAAGAAACATCACTGACAAATTTAAAGAATTTGTCTCCTGGAGATAAAAATAACAACATTTTGCCTCTAATAGAAAAAAAACGTATTAAATATAATTCTAACATACCTGAAATTCGTGATGAACTTTATGAATATATTTATATATTCTTTTGTGGTGTAAGAGCCTATGCAGGAAATAGTGCCAGGTGTCCTCAATCACCGCACAGCCAAAGCATCTTGCCAAAAGCATATACCTTTAAGATGAAAACACTGTAATGGGTATAAACTAACTTTTACTTAAACATCTAAACTTTTACTTGGGATCACCATTTGAGACATTACATAAAACCAAATATCCACTTACTAGCTTGACCTAAATGGATATATTAATCAACATATTCTCAAAACTGCTAGATACAGTGGCTATACAATACCACCTTAAGAATGGTTAAAGAGATTGACCACTATACCAATTCTAATTCATTTTTTATGAAATTCACAGGTATAAAATCAGAGCTAAGAAACAAGAACCAAGAGTTCTGGGAAAAGAGTAATATTGATGAAAGACTTGAACTAAGATTAACAATGATAAAATCATCACTTTTTTCCACCAAAGAGAAGGACCTAAGAGCAATGGGCAAAAATATTTAATATACAACCGCACACATACATAGAAACGCTTTGTTGAATATCCACTACATAGAAAAGATATATATCTCTATATTGGTATATTCAGGTTATATCAGGAACAGATATTTTAATACAAATATTATTTGAATACAAATGTGCTCAGATAATATATATTTGTATGTATATGGACACAATATTTATAAACCTCAAACTATTCTCTCATTTTTTTCATTCACTTTAGACTCAAAATGTAACATTTTTTCTTAGAATGAGCATGTGCATCTGTATACAATTACATAAAGGATGCTGTGGAAAACTTCTGATGCAAGAAACTCACCTTGCAATAAAATATTACATTAAAATACAGAAAGATATAAAAACGGAAACATTTTAAGTTTCTGCTATGGCTTACTTTTCTACATTTTATTTACTTCTAAAGTGTAGAACAAACAAACATTAACCAAATGAAGAAAGACGACATAAATATTAAGTATATTTTAACTGGGTAATGAACCATGACTAAGTATAAAAATCCAATCTTTATCTACATACCATCTTGGCATTCTTTCCCAATCATAAGGAATATTGAAATATTCTGTAAAATAATAAGTTCCACAAATCAAAGGAAACTGGATAAAAAAGTGATTAAAGAGAAGTACTTTAAAACACTTCCACTGGTTTTCCCAAGTTTCTGGTTTATCCTGTGGAGAAAAATCACAATATTGAGGGTTAGCCTCTGATCAGTAGTCTACCCTCACAACTAGAAGTGAATTCCTAATTTTTTTCTCAAGTTTATTTGAGACCTTAATTCTATTAGAATTCTTGATGCTAACATTTAATCCTATTTCATGTGAATTCTGTATTACAGTTACAACATTACAGTAACTAAGGCCCAGGAATCGCACCCTCCCTTTCTAAATTCTTGACAATGACCATCACTACTTTAAAAAGCTGGAGAAATTGTTAAAACACAAATCCGGGAGCACACACTACAGAACGAGCAACTCTGCCGTCTTTGCTGCCCACAGATCATTCACTTCTTCCACCAGGAATTCCAGGGGAGAAGAAATGTGTTATGCTGAGATGACAGTTGGGTTCGCCCAGCTGTGGCAGCAGTAGCACACGCAGCGCTGGAGGCTTTCGACACAGGCGGGACGTTTCCTGCCATTCAGCAGTACTCACGCCCAGAAATAAGTGCATTCGTGTTTGTACACAATGACAGAATTATACATTCTCTGAGCGAGAACTTCAGAGATGTGTCCAGCGGTTCCCAAAGAATGGAGAGCTATTGCCCACAGGTGATGAAGCTCACAGATTAAAGCCAAAATGAGAAAGGTGAAATCCACATAGCAAGCCGTTCATAAAACCTCATCAGGATATCAACTTGCTTAGCAAGCCATATACAAAAGAACTAAATTTATTCAATTTAAAGGCTGCACTTAGATAAGAAAAAGTACTTTTGGTTTTACAAAAAGATGGTGATAATAAATAGTAGTTATTGCTTTGTTTTAAATGTGCTTACTTAAAAATTCAGAAATCTGCCAACGAAATTCTTATAACTGAACCATAATATCCCAAGTACGGGAACGAGTGCGCACCAGCAGAAGCCCAAGGTCAACTACCTTGCCCAGGATCACACAGGCAATTATTAGGTCGTGGACTATCTAAAGCCTAGGTTCTCTGATCCACGTCTATTCTTGAAATTCTGTAAGAGAGCTATCCTCCCTGACAGAAAAAGGGAAAGCAATGAACTGAGAATCAGTCTAGAGCTGGGCCCTAATCCCTGGGCCTCCACTCACCAGTTAACTAGCTCCCTGGTGCTCACAACTCAGTTTCCTCCACAATAAAATGAGGCGATTAGACAAGGCAATTTATATTTGTTTCCTTTTTTTTTTGAGGAAGATTAGCCCTGAGCTAACATCTGCTGCCAATCCTCTTTTTGCTGAAAGACTGGCCCTGAGCTAACATCCGTGCCCATCTTCCACTACTTTATATGTGGGACGTCTACCACAGCATGGCTTGCCAAGCGGTGCCATGTCCTCACCCAGGAACCGAACCGGCAAACCCCGCGCCGCTGAAAAGAATGTGCGAAGTTAACCACTGCGCCATCGGGCCCAGCCCCATATGTCTGTCTTTCTATTTTTACTCTGAGCGTTAGCTGACCTCATTCCTCCAAACTTCCAGTCCACGAGTGGAGACAAAACAAATCGAGGATTCTGGCTTGGGCTGGCAGTGGCATTGTTTCCCATAGAAACTGTGTTTAACAGACTTTTAAATTTCCTAGCTAGAATCTGACACCCGTGTAGCTGCAGAAACTAACACAGCGTTCATCAACTATAAATAATAAAATCATATGCTATACTGTTTCAAGTGTACATAAAGTGGTTTAAAAGATAGTTAATTAAAAACTCATACGCAGTGGAATATCAGAGCTCATCATATTTTACTTTATTCACAACTGCATCCTAAGTTGAAGGAATACCATTATTAGGGCCACAGACTTAAGAAAGAATGTGTTTAGTACATGTGTCCTTGAGGAAAATTCCTAGAGAATTACTAAGATGTATGACTTTTAAAAACAGATCCTGCAAGGTCTACTTCATCACTTCATTCCTGTACATTTCCCCCTCACTGCCAAGCATGCGCACTGTGACGGAGTGCATTCTGTTTGAAAGCAGAAAGCCTTCAGCGCTGTCTCATCACCCAACAACTTCTTCCTGGGCCCCCAATGTTTCAGGGTATCTGCCTTCAAAATGCATAAACCTGTATCTAACTTGCACTGATTTTTTTTCCTTCTTTTTAAACTCCGTTATGTTGTTAAAACTTGTACTGATTTACCATCACAATTTATTTTAGTATCAAAAAAGCTCAAAGCAGGAACTTAAATGGCTGTGAAACTCAAAGGAAGGCATGCTGAGTAGACTTGAAGCCACACCACCCAGCTTTTCAATCTCTGTTTATAAAAATAATTAGTTGTAACCAACTAGATGATTGCCTGTCCTTTCTTTTGCCACAATTTATTTTAAAGTCACTCGTACAACCTTGACTGAAAAAGGTCGTCCTCTCTATGGAAAGGTTACCACCTCTGACCAACGAGCCCGCTGCAGAGGGCAGAAGGACACAGACACGTCGGCCTAGCCAGCCACACAACAAATCAGCCTTATAGACAAATCAATGGGGGACACCTGGCAGCCAGAATCTCCCCAAACATGCAAGAGAACTTAGACATCGAAACTGAATTCTGCCTTTCAAGGCAGGCCCTCTTATAAAAAAGCATTTTGGAACTTCTGCGTCCTTAATTTAGGGTAACAGGATCCTCTCTGTTGGGCCACATCCCTTGTTATTCCCTGCCCCGTTTCCCTTAGTTCTTCCCCCCTGCTTTGGCTTGGAGTCCGGTCACCTGACCCCCTGCACGATTCCCACAAGGGATCAGTGTCAAGACTTGCTTCAAGTGAGACTCACTGGGAGAGGCAATGAAGCTCATAAATGATGAAAGAGCATGTGCACTGACTGCCAATGGAAGGACACTCAGTGAGCGCAAATTACTCTCCACAGATGAACACTCTCAACATGCCTACTTTCTACCAAGACTGTGTGCCCCTGAGTTTTAGCTTGGCATGACTTTTTAAAAAGTAAACAGTAAGCATTAGAAACTACCACGGGTTTACCAAGTGCTGATAAATCATCTCTCTCTAATAAGCTAGTCCAGATTCTTTCCTGGGAATTGTGTCAAGCTCATCAGTCTACACATTAGTAGAGTTCACTATTCTCCCTGTTTCACACGGAGAAGAGGCATCTGCAAATCTCAACACCTTGTCATGCATAGTGGGCTCTCAACAAACATTTAGCGCACTGAAGCAAACACCTAGAAACTAGGAGCATCATCGCCTCTTTATTTGGGACGACAGGAATGCTGCTCAACTACCACCTTCTATTTAGGGAAAAAATAAAACTTTAACAGCCCTGAGCAAGATCTTAGAATATTAACATATAATTAGGGGCTGAGACATCAGGGGTTGGAGTCAATTGCAAAATAATACCCACAAATCCCAACTTTGCATTCCAGCTAGTTTAAAAACGAAAATCTATAAACTCAAATTAGATAAACTTTACATCTACTTAAAGCATAATTTAACAAATTATCCTTGAAATATCATCAATAATGATCTAGGGCTGTGCTGTCCAATATGGTAGCAACTGGCAACAAGTAGCTATTGAACACTTTAAATGTGCCTAGTCTAAACCGAGACGGGCTAAAATTAGTGTCAAATAGACACTGGATTTCAAAGATTTATTATGAGAATAAGATAAAATATCTCACTAAGTACTTTTTAATTCTCATTACTTGTTGAAATGATAATAGTTTAGATTTATTGTGTTAAATAAAATATATTATTAAAATTAATGTCTCTATTTCTTTTTAATGTATTCTACTAGAAAATTTACAATTATACATGTGGCTTCATTCTATGTCTGTTGGAGAGCCCTGCTCTAGACTCTCTCAAAGCAAAGTTACATGTACTTTTAAAATCTTTAACAACACTAATGATAACATGCCATGGCAAGTCCATCATACTCACCTTTTGAATTTTGTACTTTTTCATGTAAGGTATAAACTGAAACAAAAGTCCAGGTAAACAGAACAAGAAATAAAGGGCCTCATGAACTATCAGAGATCCCCATGTTGCAATCTGGAACTTTGTGTAATTATTCAACATAGAGTTCCAAGCATTTTTAAATGGTTCTTGCAGAGGATTCTCAGGTAAAAGCGAGTCTACATACTCGACAGCCAAGGACGCTGAACTAAAGATGCTGGCACTTTCATTTGCTGCCATTTTTCAAATCTCTGCAGACGACCTTATAATTCTGTAAACATAAATAAATAAATACATGCATAAATAAGCAATAAAGCAAGCTAAACAATAAAATTCCAAGAAAGCAACTTTAAAAATGCATCTTTTGATAATTTAAAAAATAATAATTTCTAAAGAAGCACCCATTTCTCAGGTTCTAACCATATAGTTTAAAAAAACCAGTCTACCGGATGTCATGACCACCTCCACTTGTACATATTGATTTAAAAGCCACATGTTAACTTCGAGGAGCAGGATCTAAAAGAACAACAGTGAATAAAGAATTTCAAGCCATCTTTAAAGAGACTTTTCGGTGTGGTCTCCAGGGAAAAACTTGTGATTTTAGTGAGCAATACTGGAGTTTAAAAGTGTCACTTAAAACCCAAAGAATCTATAAAGAAAAAGCCCATCAAATAGGACTACATAAAAATTAAATACTTCTGATTGCGGAACAAAAAAACAATTATAAAGGCAAAGATCAAATGAAAAACTGGAAAATATTTCCAATACCCATAATATAACAAAGGGGACTGAAGTGTGTTTTAGAAAAAAGACTAGAAAGCCAATAAAAAAATGACCAAGGCCATGCACAAGTGGTTCACAGAAAAATTAATGTGAATACTAACTAAACAAACATGACTCAAATATGGAAATGCACCCTAAAGAGAAAATCTTTTAAGTTTCATAGTGCCCGGTACCCAGGAATGATAAGGGGAACAATCTGCGGCAACAGGCATCACTGTACATTGTTGATGGGGAAATTAATATACCTTTGAGGAAAAAGTCAGTATCTATCACAATTCAAAATGAATACACCCTTTGACTCAGCAATTTTCTCACTCAAGTGTACAGACAGGCACACTAGGACAGAAGGATGCATTGCTAATAATCGCAAAAACAGAGAGGAAAAAGAAAAACAAAACATAAATAAGTCCATCAACAAGAAGTGAGTTAAATCAATTCTGTTAACTCCTTCCAGAGACAATTCTACAGCCACTTAAAGATCGAGGAAGATGTACACCCTACGTAGAAAGATGGCTAAGCTACAGTGTTAAGTGAAACAGCAAGTTGCAGAATAATATGGATAAGAGCCACACCTACATTTTTGTGAAAAGGTTATGCATTTTTTTTTCTTTAAAGATTGGCACCTGAGCTAACAACTGTCGCCAATCTGTTTTTTTTCTTTTCTGCTTTTTCTCCCCAAATTCCCCCAGTACATAGTTGCACATTCTAGTTGTGGGTTCTTCTAGCTGTGGCATGTGGGACGCCTGATGAATGGCGCCATGTCCGCGCCCAGGATCCGAGATCCTGGGCGGTGGAAGCGGAGTGCTCAAACTTAACCACTTGGCCACGGGGCCGGCCCCAAGGTACGCCTTTTATCCATGCACTTTCATGCATATGCACATACAGAGACACACAAAGAAAATGTACAGGAGACCCAGGGAATGATCTAGAGCAGTGCCCTTCAGGAAAAGTGACCAAGAGGAAGTAGGGAGTGTGTGCGTCCTCACGTGCACACACAGCCGGGGGTGCTACGGAGGAGAGGAGGAAAACTTTACTTTCCATTTAGTACCTTCTTACAATTTTAATTTTTTTCACGACCATGTTTTGCTTCTGTAATAAATAAGCTTAATAGGCCACCAAATCAAAAAATAGAGAAACTTATGAAGATTGTTACTTGCCTAAAAATGTTCAGTGCTGTTTCTAATTTATGAACGATGATGGACCACTCTAAAAACAAATACTTTAAGCCTCAGAAGTGCTCTCAATAGTGCTTAAAATGCTCCAGTCTGCTCCTCCACTCCCAAATTGACCTTATCCCATTCCTCTTAGAGGATGTCGGGAAGCTTAGCCAACTTCCACAGGTCTCTGAATTCATTTTGCATCCTTACTCTTTTGTCCTCATTCTCAAATGACTTACACCATGGAGACTATAGTGTGACATCCTGGGCCCTCCCAACCTCAAAATTTCCCTTTGTTTATTCACCCTCTCCTTTGAGACTGACCAGTCTTGTGTTCTTACCTACCTCATCAAGAACTTGTCCGTCACTTAACCCTTTCTCATCTTTTGAATTTCCCTCTTCACTGAGGCCATTCCCTCAAGTTTAAAAACATACTCAAGTCCTCCTTTCTTGAGAAAAGCTTTCCCAACCTTTATCGCCTCTCCCCCAAGCCACTGTCCCATTTCTTGCTTTGCGCTAACCAACGTCTCTCTCAAAGGAGGTCAACATAAAGCCTCCCACTGCTTGATTCTGACTCACACAACACACTCAACTACTTGTAATCTAGTTTCACACTCACATCAAGATGCCCTCAATGATATTCTAAATTGGAAAATAAAAGTTGTTGCAATCCTCATGAGGTTCATTGCCAAATTCAACAATGTTTAACCAGTACCACTTACTAGCTGTGTGACCTTGAGCAAGTCACATCACCTCTCTGATCATCTGCAAAACTGTAAAAAAACAACAACAGTAACTAGATAGTGAGAATCTTTTCACAATGTATACGTGCATCAAATCATCACAATGTACACTTTAAATATCCTACAATTTTGTCAATTATACCTCACTGAAGCTGAAAAAAAAGAATAACAATAGTTCTAATGAGTCCAAGAAATAATCTTGTGAAGTCCTTACCATAGGATCTGACAAATAGCAGCCACAAGAAGCTAACAATTACTGAGCACTTTCCATATGCCAGGAACTGAGTTGTAAGAGGGCTACAGGCTCTCTCTATTAGACTTTAATCCTTACCACACCCTCGGGAGGTAAGGACTTTTATTATCCCCATTTTATAAATGAAAAACCGAGGTTTAAAAAGATTAAGCAACTTTCCCAAATTATAAAAATGCTATGTGGGGGAGCCTGTGCTCTCATCCATTATGTTATGCTATCTAATTAATAAAGCACACAATAAATATTACAGCGAGAGGGGAATAATTCGTCCAGTTTACCCAAGCCTCCTGAAAGAGTGATCCATACAGGCTGTCTGTGTTCACGTTTCCCATTTACTCTCCAGCAGCTAGCCTGCTTTCTAGTCTCATCACCACACTGAATTTACTTGCTAAAATCACTAAGGGTCTCTCCTAACTGCCAAATCCAATGAGCCTTCTTTGGAGTTTATTTAACAATCAGGAAGATTTGACACTTCTCTCCTCAAAATACTCTCCTTCCTTGGTTCTTGGGATTCACATGTTACACTAAGATTTAATTTGTGCAGTGATGTGCAGCACTGTGCCAGCTGCTGCTCTCACCTCCGACTTCACAAAATGTAAAATCTAGGAAGGAACATGAAGAAGGCACCGGACTATCAGAAAGGTATGTGAGCAGAAACATCAAGACCTGGATTTACAGAATGCCATGAGCACAGAGGTCCAGGAAAGAGTTCCTACAGAAAGATATCATCGAAACTGAGATGCAGAGCACAAGGGGGAGGAGACCAAATTAAGAGAGTAAAGCAGGGTGGGGCAGGGGGATACAGAGATGGTTTGGGCGGAAGGAACATCAGATCCAAAGATTCAAGCAGGAGATGAGAAAGAAGACTCGAGAATTGAGGCTGGGAAGTTTCCCATGATGTTTTCCTTACTCCTTTCTGGCTAGTCTAGATTACCTTGGGTGATCTTAACTACTTCCTGTTTTTAAAATCTGCTGATATTATCCGCAAGCTCTATTTCTAGCCCTCTCCCCTAAACTCCAGATTCTGATGATCCCTAAGTGTACTCGCCATCTCGGATCAGACAGCTCAGAGGCAGGTCCAGTCCAACACCTCCCAAGATTCAGCAACTGCTCCCTGCACCCAAATACTTTCCCTCCGTTAATCCCTAGCTTGGGGAACTGCACCATCACCTACTTCGACATCTCAGACAGAAGAAGGTTCTAAGTCCCTCCCATCGCTACTGCCTGGGTGAAGTCTTCCAACTCTACTCAATTTAGAGACACTTGGATTAATTAATGTTCAGGAGTTTACTCTCCACACATAAGGGAGGAGAATGGATACATTGCCACCAACCGAACAAAAGCACAAAACAGGAATTAAAAAGCAGAGAGGAGGGGAAATAAAGAGCGATTTTTTTTCTCCTTTTCTCATCCTTAGGCAACTTGATTGACGGGAAGCCTGCTCTAGATAGAGCAGAAAGACGACATCCCCAGAAAAAAGAAATGTAGTTATTTATGGATTTTCTGAGAAATCCTAAAGTTCAGCTGTCTAAGTACTGTCAGCCAGTGTGGGCCCTTGGGCCCCTTACCTTAGTTAAGCCCGGATCACACTGGGTCCCTCATTTGCTGGAGATGCCAGGTCTCCAAGCGTGCCCTTCTTAAACCCTATCTCTACGACACAGGGCCAGAATCTATTTAAAAAGCAGAGTTAACTCTCCTCTTAAAAGCCCCGAAGTTCAGGGGCGTGCCTCCCCTACGGATAAAGACCAAGGCCTTCAGTGATGCACAACAGGCCCTGCCAGGCCTCTCCCTTCTTCCTCTCTCACATTCTCGCCATCCTACACTTCATATTCTTACAAAATCTGACCTCTCATTCCTCCTGCGGCTTCATTTCTCTCTGCCCACAGAAACAGCATTCCACAGCCAGCAATGTCCTATCCAACTCCTATTCATCCTTCAGTAACCTCCTCTAAGACGCCCTTCCCAACCTCACTACGTAGTCTCACCGCACATACACAACAGATCTTATGCCCCAGTTGTGCTTCTGTTTTTGTAAAACTTGCATCACTCTATCACACTTTGCTGTAACTGTCTTCTAACACGTCTTGTCTCCCGATGACAGTAAACTCTTAAAGGTAAGAAACATGCCTCAGCCCAGTTCCATCACTTAAGGATTGCACACGCTTTTCACCCGTTTCTCCCTCCACCGCCGCCCTCACATCGGGTACCGGGGCCCTCGTCCGGCTCTGAGCGCTCATCCACGCCCGACTCCACTCCCGTCAACCTTGCGGGGCATTGGTCCCGAGCCCTCCGCCGCCGCTTCCTCGCCCGCGAGGCTCCCTTCCGGCCCCCTCACCTGGACGATGGCGCCGGGACTGCGGGCAAAGGGCTGCAGCCTCGGAACCTGCCTCTCCCAGGTCGTGGGTGGGGCCCAGGGAGCGAGGCTGCCTCCTCCTGCCGTTATTGGCTTGAGAGGGCTCCCCGCCCCGCCTCCTCGGCGCTGTGATTGGCCCTTGCGGTTGCCGGCATCGTGTGACTCGTGCGTACGAATCCCAGGCCGTGCCAACCATTGGCTCCGCGGATGGAGTGAGGATAGTGAGACCGCGGCTTCCAGCCAGTGGCCAGCGCCGCCGCGCTCCCGGAGGCGGGGAAGCGCGAGGGCGCGTGACGGCGTGTCGGCGTGACGGAGCTGCTCGGCCGGCCGCTACGTGCAGGAGCGACGAGTTGCCTTGGCAACTGGTGTGCCTGCGGACTTCAGCCTGCGCCGTCCGAGAGGGTACCAGGACACCGTCACCGCGACCTGGTTTAAGACGTGAAGTGTGTAGCAGCCATATTGCCAAAACCCGGGGAGAGACTAGTATAAATGAGTTTAAAACTCTGTTTAGACTGTTTTGTGTTTACAGATAGCCCCGCCTTCCTCTGGTCTACCCTGTATTTAGATCTTTCGTCCTTGTTTCCCCAGCCCAAGTATCCTTTAATAAACCTCTACATATGGAAGATGGAGCATTTCATACGCAGTGTAGCCCCTGCGACAATCCAGAGTTAGTTACCATTATCCCCATTTTGCAGATGCAAAAACTCAAGGCTCAGAAACGTTTAGAAAATCATTTGACATAATGGATGGCAGATGGCTACTCCCCAGGGGTGTTAAGGCCTTGGCTGAGAGAAGGCTCCGGTGTTGGAATCCTGGGCGACACAGTGAGCGCCAGGGCACGGGGACAGAGGGTTGACACGCTTGGCACTTTGTAACCCTTGTAACAGCTCTAGCCTTAGCCATGCCTCGACACTGAAATGCTGTGTGCCAGGGTGTCAAATTATGTACAGATGGTGTAATAACATACGAATGTAAGCTTTCACTTAAGTGCCTTGTAAAAATTTGCACAAGGGCACCATTTGGGTTGGCTAAAGGCACTTTCTATACAAGTTTGAGAACAGGATGCTGTTGTTTCTCTCGTGGGTGTGCTCAAACTGGCTCCTCTGCCGGAAATACTCAGCCGCCTTCTTTCCTACCCATCAGTTCAGATGCCTCTGCTTGAGGACGTCCCCTGTGAGGTCCAGTGACCGCTACTCACTCTCCTAGCTGTTCCATGTGTCTGACACCCACATTTTTTGTAAAGTATCATAACAGGTCACATCAAATGAGAAGAAATGGGATCTGTCCCTTTGGTGGTCAGAATCAGAGCCCTGTTTTTAGGAGGTCTCTGCAGGAAGGGGAGTGGTGTCCTGAAGAGCATGCTGTGGAGCACCGTCCGGGTCCTCTTCTTCAGGACTTACCCAGGCGTTCAGCTGCTGAGTGTTGGCGGAGAGAACCACCTCTCCTCAGGGCACACCCCCGTTTCCGTGGTGCAACCTGAATCCAGTGACTGGTTGATGCAGGAGTGTAAAGGACCAGCCCCTTGCTCCAACTTAGGACTTCTTTGCTTGGCCAGCCCAGCTCCAGAGCTCCCCCTCCAACTGGCTGAGGTTGTGGGTGTGACTGCACTGCAGCCCACTTTTCCCTCTGCCCAAACCCACTGCCCTCTGTCAAGTAGTGTTAAGAGCATGCACTGTGGGGTCAGACTTACCAGGCTTTGTCACTTATTAGCAGTGCGCTCTTGGATAAGTTACTTCTCAAAGTCTTATGCGGTACCTCTGTAAAACTGGTATTGTAATAATACCTGTATCTCAGAGTTTCTTATGATGATTAAATGAGGGTATCAAATGAGGAGATCATGTATGTAGGGCCCTTTGCACAACATCTAGAACACAGAAGTGCTCAGTAAATGTTATTATTTCTGACTTAGAAGCCTACTACAATAGATATATTTTCTAAATCACAGCAGCTATATGTATGTGGAGGGGTCAAATTATTATTTTAAGTCTTGGAGATTGAGAGCTGAAAGGAAACAGATATGGCAGCTCCTCACTTGTTTCCTACAGTGAAGAAACAGGAGGTTCAGAGAACGGCAACAAGAGCAGTAATTTACTGAGGGCCCTGTTTTTTGAAGCACATTAACATACATTATTTCTTTCAAACACCACAACAAACTTGTAAGTGACATAGGCACTACTGTTGCAATTTCAGAGAAGAAAAAGTAAGGGTCAGAGGTTAAGGACTGTGTTTAAAGTCAGAGCTAGCAACCGAGAAAGGGGAATGCAAACTCAGGGCTGTCTGATTCCGATGCCTATGGGCTTTCCAGTGTACATTACACTGCTTTTTTTGTTCGAGTGGTGAAGCCAGGGTTAGAACCCCAGAATCTTTGATTCAAAATGTGGTTCCACTCTCCCATGTAGACTCCTCTCCAAAATGAGACACTGGCAGCCATCCAAGTGAGTCCAAAGCGATTTGCTCAAGACCAAACTGACACAAGAGTCAGGCTTATTTAGCACATTGCTATGTAATGTTATGCTGCCCTTGTACCTAATAAAATGAAATCATAAATACCTGGGTCCTCATGCAATCTATAAGGCATGATAATAAATACCAAGAATCATACGCCAGAGTCCACAAGGAACGGGAAGGGAACTGAAGTCTTCAGGCAGTACACAGACCAGCTACCTTAACGCTAGTTGTCACTGCTTTCAGCCAAGCAGGCAGCAGACTTGCCTCACAATGCAGTCACGTGGATCTAGCCTTGAACTCTGCTCAAACCTGGTGCTTTTTCCTTAGCAGGATTTCTAAGACACCTCTCTGTCTTAACTTCTGACCTTTTTTGTACAGTAATAGAACAAGCTGGGAATGCTTTTATATGCCTTAAAAAGAGAATAAAACCCAGGATGTTTCAAACTGGAAAGATAAAGGCTGGCATGGGGAGGGGGGTTTATTCAAAGCCTCTGAAATCAGAGTTATGAATCCAGCTACTGACAAACCTTGGCAAACTATTTTATCATACAGCTATTAAGGCTTCAAAGAAAAAGTAAAGACAAAGAGGTATTTGACATGCTAAGTAGTTAAGATTTTGTTACCCTAATGGATTTTAAGAAAAGCTTAAAAAATCTTTAGATAAATTATTAACTGGTAGATTCACGGAGAGTTTCATGGAACATTAGTGTTTGAAAGTGCTCAGGAAAGATAATGACACACATTTTTCTTGGTGTCACTGTCAGAAACAGCTGGCAGTGCTCCAAGTTCATTAGACCTTCAACATGATTGTTGACAATGGATGTGTCTGGAGCCCACTAATGCAGAAATTCATCTTTTCATAAGGTGAGCATAGGCTTTTTTTCTGATTAAATTCTTTATATTTCCACTTATAATAGAAAGTTCAACTAAGTACTAAAGATGGCTCTCTGTTTAAATGTGAATACTATTAACTAAATAGAAATTCTATCATAGGTATATTCTTTCCTCTTGATTATTGACTGTTCTGGCAACAGTTCATACTAACCTTTTAAATTCTTCTCCTGAGGAATAGCAACCATAACCTGCCACCTCCTGCACTTCCCTCTTTCCTGTCTAGCACCTCAGCTGTCCACCCCAGCCCTCCATTTCCATTTCCTCAACTCATTTTATTTGGTATCAAAAGCACAATTTATTTCTCAGATGCTTTAGAGTAGATATTTTTTCTTTGACTTTCTTTTTTGTTTTATCTTGATCTTGTGTCCTGCCCATATTAGGGACAGAGGAATATAAAAACGTTAAATTTCTGGGCGGGCCCAGTGGCACAGCGGTTAAGCTCGCACGTTCCGATTCGGCAGCCCGGGGTTTCTCGGTTCGGATCCCAGGTGAGGACATGGCACCGCTTGGCAATAAGCCATGCTGTGGTAGGCATCCCACATATAAAGTAGAGGAAGATGGGCACGGATGTCAGCTCAGGGCCGGTCTTCCTCAGCAAAAAGAGGAGGATTGGCAGCAGATGTTAGCTCAGGGCTAATCTTTCTCAAAAAAAAAGTTAAATTTCACCACTCCTTGGCAGATTTCCTTGACGGCTGAGCTAACTTCTTCTTGGAGAACAATTTCCAGTGACTTCAGTTATTGACTGAACAGACTTGCCTTATAGGTTACTTTGGCAACAAATTAAAAACATTGATTTGTGAAGTTAGAAAAAGCAAATTTTGCAAGAGAACAGAAAAACTGAATAGGCAACTTTCTTAATATCAAATTAAATATATAAAAAATCAAGGACAAGGTGAAACAAATAATATACAAACTTTTATTCAAAGATAATTCAAGAAAGACATGTTTTGGTCATTTTTAAAGTAAGATTAATTGAAGATCTCAGAAAAACTGTATCTGATCAACGCACATAGCTACCCACAGAAAATTCTCTCTTCTGTTAATAGCAGCTAAATTTATACACACAGAAAAAATTCTTAAGACCATGCAAATTCAGTTGAATTCCATACATTCATTATAATTCATCAAAACCTGCATTAATATTCATGCCAAAGTGTTACTTTAAGAAAAAAATTAAAAATACACACCAAAACATGACCAAGATTAAACCAAAGGAAATAATAAATAAGCATAATTTATATTTTATTTAAAAAAGTTTGGCATCACACATATTCAAGTGTGTTACACCATGTTCATTCCTCAGAAGTGGCATTTTAAAGTGTTAAGCATTGTTAAATATCAAAAAATACAACTCTGTTTTACAATGTAGTACTGGCATAATTCAAAGTACTGTGCCAATTATAAATAGTATAATCAAGTTTCAAACATCTTTTCAAACATATTTAAAGGAAAGCATATAGACACACATTTATATGCACACAATTTATTATACTCATGTAATCAAAGATATTTTATAAAAGCAAACAGTTTTAACCCTCAACTAGTTTGAATACTTACATAGATTTTAATACCTGTTCAAAGATTTTCAGTTCATGTGTATACAGATTTTCAGAAGGAATAAAGATAAAACTGAATTTTACAAGAACACATATTACTTTATCCTCCTTCACAAAATAATCCAGTCATTCAAGGTTGATAAGAACTAGTCTTTATGAAAACAACCGTTGGCTAAAGACTACAGAGTCAGTACTGCAGTCCAG